ACCTGTGCTACTGTTATAGCCATTACACCTGTGCTACTGTGTTAGCCATTACACCTGTGCTACTGTGTTAGCCATTACACCTGTGCTACTGTGTTAGCCATTACACCTGTGCTACTGTGTTAGCCATTACACCTGTGCTACTGTGATAGTCATTACACCTGTGCTACTGTGATAGTCATTACACCTGTGCTACTGTTTCCACCTGACTGTGTTACAGATGAAGCTACATCCACACTGTGACAGAGGATATGATGGAACAGAATATGTTCTATTCCTCTCTTAAAGATACATCTTGAATGTTGGAAAATGGTAACCATGTAGACCTATACAATTAAATTGAAGATGAATGTTTCTACCGTATGTGATGAACACATATTTAGTTTAGATATTATTTGGGTTAAATGCTTTGTGTGTTAATAAGTGCAGTCAGAAAATGACAAACACAACAAACGATGAATATGATATTGGGTGATCTAGATGACATTGATGATAATGGCCACCAAATGAAAAATGAATCGCATTGAACAAGGGTGACCATTAATGTGTTGACCAATGTAAACCTTGCCTAAAAGCTGGATATTTCCCATATTTTTGTATGTTTGTTTAATCAAAATGCAGCTTGGTCAACAACAAAGAGTCGAGTTTGAATCGTGACTTTTTAGTTTGTTCAAGATAAAAATGATTTTTTATGCATGCAATAGATGTTCGCTCCACTCTTTCCAGACCCTTTCCAATTGTGATTGATCATCTCATTGGGATATGTGTGGTACTGAAAAGATATCTAGAACTCTTTATTATACTTTGTATATTAAAACCACAATGGTAATGGTGTTACCACAAAATATATTCAGGTGCTATATAAAAAAATAGATCATACTGATTTTCATTTATCCGTTAGATTCCTTTTTATAGTCTCTGTTTTACTTTGTAATATAAAAGACCACAGCTCTAGTTTAATCCCTTCTTATGAGGAAGCACAACTGAAGACTCCCATATTTATCTATGGTTCCCCACATTGAAATATAATTACATTCTATTAACTATATTTCCATGGCAGTGGCTGCTAAAATGTTGATATAACCACTGTAACAGTTCCATAATGACCTGTTTGTCATGCCTTAGGCTAATATATCATGCACTATCCAGCACAAACCTCTACATCAGGGATCATCAACTAGATTTAGCCGCGGGCCGACATTTTCTTGAGCGGATGGACAGGGGACTGGTACATAATTACAAATAATTTGTAGACTGCAAATTGACCGCAAAATGCCCAAACAGATATAATATTTGACTAAAACATAATCATTTCAAACCTTGCTTACATTTGTATACGATCACATGTATCTCTCTACTACGCGTGGGAATACTTTGGAACAGATTTCCAAAATTAGAATCACCTGGAGCTGATTTGCTGGTGTTTTTAGTGTTTTATGTCCAGCAATGTTTTTCTAAAATTATAAAATTATTTAAAAAAAAATATATATATATATATATACACTACCAGTCAAAAGTTTGGGCACACCTACTCATTCAAGGGTTTTCTTTCTTTTTACTATTTTCTACATTGTAGAATAATAGTGAAGACATCAAAACTATGAAATAACACATATGGAATCATGTAGTAACCAAAAAAGTGTTAAACAAATGAACATATATTTTATATTTGAGATTCTTCAAAGTAGCCACCCTTTGCCTTGATGACAGCTTTGCACACTCTTGGCATTCTCTCAACCAGCTTCATGAGGTAGTCACCTGGAATGCATTTCAATTAACAGGTGTGCCTTGTTAAAAGTTAATTTGTGGAATTTCTTTCCTTCTTAATGCGTTTGAGCCAATCAGTTGTGTTGTGACAAGGTAGGTTTAGTATACATAGCCCTATTTGGTGAAAGACCAAGTCCATATTATGGCAAGAACAGCTCAAATAAGCAAAGAGAAACGACAGTCCATCATTACTTTAAGACATGAAGGTCAGTCAATCTGGAAAATGTCAGGAACTTTGAAAGTTTCTTCAAGTGCAGTCGCAAAAACCATTAAGCGCTATGATAAAATCTCATGAGGACCGCCACAGGAAAGGAAGACCCAGAGTTACCTCTGCTGAAGAGGATAAGTTCATTAGAGTTACCAGCCTCAGAAATTGCAGCCCAAGTAACAGTCACAGAGTTCAAGTAACAGACACATCTCAACATCAACTGTTCAGAGGAGACTGTGTGGCCTTCATGGTCGAATTGCCGCAAAGAAACCACTACTAAAGGACACCAATAAGAAGAAGAGTGACACTGTCTGTGATTTATTTAGAATTCAAGGCACACTTAACCAGCATGGCTACCACAGCATTCCTTCTGGTTTGGGTTTAGTGGGACTATCATTTGTTTTTCAACAGGACAATGACCCAACACACCTCTAGGCTGTGTAGTCACATTAACTCTACCCACATGTACATATTACCTCAATTACCTCGATTAACCGGTGCCCCCGCACATTGACTCTGTACCGGTACCCTCTGTATATAGCCTCCCTACTGTTATTTATTTATATCAAATAATTATTTGTTATTTTTATTCTTTACTTATCTATTTTTTACTTAACACTTTTTTTTTCTTAAAACTGCATTGTTGGTTAAGGGCTTGTAAGTAAGCATTTCACTGTAAGGTCTACACCTGTTGTATTCGGCACCTGTGGCAAATACAATTCGATTTGATTTAATTTGATAAGGGCTATTTTACCAAGAAGGAGCGTGATGGAGTGCTGCATCAGATGACCTGGCCTCCACAATCCCCCGACCTCAACCAAATTGAGATGGTTTGGGATGAGTCGGACCGCAGAGTGAAGGAAAAGCAGCCAAAAGTGCTCAGCATATGTGGGAACTCCTTCAAGACTGTTGGAAAAGCATTCCAGGTGAAGCTGGTTGAGAGAATGCCAAGAGTGTGCAAAGCTGTCATCAAGGCAAAGGGTGGCTATTTAAATAATCTCAAATATAAAATATATTTTGATTTGTTTAACACTTGTTTGGTTACTACATGATTCCATATGTGTTATTTCATAGTTTTGATGTCTTCACTATTATTCTACAATGTAGAAAATAGTAAAAATAAAGAAAAGCCCTGGAATGAGTAGGTGTGTCCAAACTTTTGACTGGTAATGTATATTTGTTTTTGCTAAGAAAACTTGGGAGGCCTAGTAAAATCACTGCCAGTTGGGGAACCCTGCCCTACATTATCTGGACCGTCCTCTCCCAGACTCTGACAGACAGGGGAAAGACATGCAATTATGCCATCCACATTATCTAGATGTCAGTGAGTGAGCCTCACAGTCACTGGCCAGAAGGGACAGGAAGACTAGGAAGTGTTATTTGGCTTTTTGATGGGAGGGAGGGAGAGGGGGGGGGGGGGGGGGGGGGGGGGGGGGGGTCTAGTAATAAAAAGTAAAACGTTAGAAGAGTATTCACAGTCCACTGATCCACGACCTCTCTGATCCAAGATGGCTCCATAACAGTCCCAGCAGCCATAGCAGCTTTGATATCTTTGACGGGCAGCTTGAGTTGACCAATTAAGGTTGCATTTGGGCAGGGCAGCGGTTGCATTTGTGCTGATATTTCCTATGCTAATCACTCTCTCATGGTGCTACATGCTTCTATCTGTGTCCATATAATGAGTCATCCACATGAGAGAGGTTGTAGAGGAGATAAAATAGGGTGAATGTTGGCTTAGAGAGAGGAGGAGCGTTGTGCACTCACATAAAACCTTTGATGTCTTATTTTGGTTTTCTCTTACTTCCCCCCACATCTCTCAGTCTGATTTGGGGAGATGAGAGTCAATATCAACTGACAGATATGGTTAAGCCAATGACAGAACAGAATGTTGACATGTTCGCTACAAGCAGCCAATGATAGAAATCCAGGATGTTTGAAGATTCCATGAACCAGGAAGAGTGTAGAGTTGGTGTAGACTACAGTTCCTTTCTTAGCCAGTGCTGATAACTGAATGAATAGTTGCATTTGCTATTTGTGCCAAGAGTCCTTATACATTCCATCACAATATTCCATAGTGTTTCCATAACTGAGAAAAGACAAGGTTGTAGCTTCCAATACCACCGAATATAAACTCATATTTTCTGGCCAGTGGAGTATTTCTTGTCCTTTCTGTGCTACTTCTATATGAGTTGCTGATCCATTCAACACTGTATATATAACATGACAACACAAATTGTGAAAGTGGGACATTTAGTCATGTAGTCACACCTGTGTGCTACATACAGATGTGATTATACTTGACTTGATTTGAGATCTGTGCCCTTTTTCCGAGACTCTCCCATTGCTTTCAATGATTTGAGCAAGGTCTGAGTGATACCTGCTTGTTTCCCAAGTCAAAAGTCATAGTATACATCCGAAAGAGTGCTGGTAGAGTGCTGGTACTATAGCTGGGCAATCAAACCCATGTGAGGAGGCAAGGAGGATGTGTTGGTCTGAGGGTGAATCTTACTCTGGAGAGGAAGACACTTCAACAACTGCGATACACACTAACCTCTCTTTTCAGACCGAATAAAGAAGTGATGGAGTCCTTTCTGACTGCAGGTATTCAGCTGTTCCTGTGTGGTCCTAGAGGAGGGTGCATCCCAATGTCTAGTGGAGCGGACCACCCTTAAACAGAGATGCTCCCTTAATGTCCATGACAGCATACGGTCCATAGAGAAGTAAAGAGTGGTGCTACTGTGGTTAGGGGAATAAGTCCAGGTACACCCTCTGTATTCTATATGCAAATTTCAAACGGCACCCTGTTCTCTAGCCAAAGGTAGTGCACTACATAGCAAATAGGGTTCCATTTTGGACGCAGCCCTCTCAGTAGCAGTGATGGGGAAATCAGATAATTTCAGGTTGCTGGTACTAATAGTCATGGGAGCGAGAGGACACCCTTGTCTCTAAAAATCACTGGGGTTAGACGACGTCCGTGTCTGGTCTCTAAATCTCAATGGGGCGAGAGGACACCCCTGTGTGGTCCCCTCTAGATTTCAGTAGCGGTCATCTCCTCAAAGTGGATGTCGTTGCTGCCGCTGTGGACGTCGTAGTCCTCTACGTCTCTGTTCTCCAGCTCTAGACTGAGCTCTCTCATCACCCTCTCCAGATCTCTGTTCCTCCTGTACATCTGGATGTAGCTCTGCTGCAGCTGCTTCTGGTAGCGGATCACCTTTTCCTTCTCCTCCTGCCAGACCCTCCTCTCCTCCTCAAATCCTCCCAGCTGCTCCTCACTGCTCCTCCTCTCGTACATCAGCTCTGCCCTCAGCCTCTCCACCTGACAGAGAAGTGATTGATTAATTGTTTGATTGAAATCCAGCAATACACAACAGATCAGTGCAAATACTTGTATTATTCAAGCACCATTCTGCAGATAAAAAATAAAGAAAATAATGTCTAAACATTGTTGGAGCCCACCTGTTGCCTGAGTCCCAACACAGCTTCAGCACTCTGCCTCTGAGTCTTGGCCTCATCACTCTCCCCTCCCCATGCCAGCCTGCCCTCCTCCGCCTCACGGTACCCCACAGAGGGGCTGGGGCCCCCACCTCCACCCCCCACACCCCCACGCCCATGGGGGAGGGGCAGGCTCATGCACTGGCCCTTATTAGCCAGTGCCTGGCCTCCAGGAAGATAACCTCCTCCCTGATTGGCCAGGGCATCTCGAAGCTGGGCCGACTCTTCCTCCAAGCGTCCGACTTTCTCGCGGAGAAGCTCAGCCTCGCTCTTCCTGCGCTGGAGCTCATTCTCGCAGACCTCTAGCTCCAGGGAGCGTGTCCGCAGGGCCGACCCAGCCTCCTGGCTCCTGGCCTGGCTGTTCTGGAGGTCGGACCTGGCCTCTCTCAGCTGGGACTTCAGGACCACCAGCTCCCCACCCTTCTGGCTCAGCTCAGACTGGATCTCCTTCAGTTGCTGTTTCAACAGGGAGATCTCACCTGACTTCTGACACACCTGGGGGGGGGGGGGGGGGGGGGAGATGCATATTTTGTGAATATTGAGATCACTTACTTTGAAATTGTGTACATGAATCAACGTTGAACCTCACCCTTACCCTAACCCATGACCCCTAAACCCCTGACCCTTCTCCTCCTCAGTGTCTCACCTCCCACTTCGTCTCCTCTAAGCGCGGTCCCAACTGGATCTGTTCTCTCTGTATGGAGGCACACCTCCTCTCCAGCACCTCCCTGTCCTGCAGCAGAGAGGAGAAGTCCTCCTGAAGCTTATTTTTCTCCTGCTGCAGCTGGAACACCTGAAGTAGAGACACAGACAGTTAAGGTCGCATTTTGACAGTCCAAAAATCAGGAGATGCTACCAAAACAGCAGCAATATTTCAAACAATAGTGCAAATAATAATAATAGTTTTTTAGGTAACTTGCAACCATAGCTGTCATACAAAACAGGGCCCTACTTCCCAAATAAAGTTAACTGAATTATCTCTGTATCTCTGTCTGTTGCCTGTAACTGTAAGGCCTTTGTACACTGAGCCTTCTGACAAGCCTGTTTCATCTTAGAAGAACAGCCCTGTCTGTATATCTATGTTTCTGTATCTATGTCTCTGTATATCCATGTTTCTGTATACTGTATCTATGTCTATGTATATCTATCCTGTCGTTCTTACCTGTAGTTGTAAGGCCTGTTGTACTCTCTGGGCCTTCTGTGTAGCCTGTTTCATCTTGGAAGAGCAGCTCTGTCTCAGCTCCTCCAGCTCCCTCTCACAGCGACGCTGCTTTTCCTCGTACACCTACAGCACATGAGGTCAGGGGTTAGAGGTCAGAGTTTACATACAGATACCACATCCAGAGGTCAAACTGTGAACCAGCACTATTATGGCTTGAAAAGCTATGGAATAATTTAGCTTAGTCAATAGAAACAGCAGAAATAACAGAAACAAACATTTGATACATATTGGTCCTCGAGGCAACACTTTAGGCCTGCTTAAAACCCTGACATTACACAGACATGAGCCACACCAGGATCCTGTGACTCGTGTTAATTAGGGCAAACCATAGCAAAACGTTATAAAGCGCTTTCAACTGAAAACAAAAACAAGGGGTTGTTATTGGACCTCCCTGTTTCAGTCAATTTTCCTCTCTTTGGTGTCTAATGAACAACTACTAAGTTAAAAAAAAACTCCCCTCTCACCTGACAGATGGCGGCCTCGTTCTCGTCCAGGTTCTCTCTGAGCTGCTGCAGTTCCAGATCCCTCTCCCTCAGCTTCTCCTCCAGCTCCCTCATCACCTCCTCGTACCCCTCCAGAGGCGGGGGTGAGTGCCCACACGACCCGCTGTCCGATAGGGGCTGGCCGCGCCCGCTCAGTGACCCCGACCCTGTGCTCTTACTGGACGACGAACGCCCGCTGTCCGAGTTAGAGTGACCGTGGGAGGTTGAGTGACTGTGAACTCTGTGGGTCACCGACCCTCCTCCGTTGGTATTGGTAGTTCTTCCAGCCCCAGGTTCCAGGCCCACCCCGGACCCCCCAGACCCGGAGGCCTCGCTGTGGGCCAAGCTGCAGCCGGTGCTGCTGTGAGTGGGGAGGCTGGAAAGGGAGTTACGGCCAGAGTCTGACATGGAGCAGGACTGGCTGCTGCGAGCGTTGCGTCCTCCGTTGTACGAGTTCCTTTTGCTGTCCGAGGAAGAGGAGGAGCAGAGCAGAGATACGACATTGCCGTAGCTCCCCGTGCTGTTGACCACAGTATTCCTGTTATTCCCGTTGATAGGTAGGGGCAGGAGGAGGTTGAGGCTGCCCTGGCTCTCAGAGAGGCTGCCCCCTGGCCTCGGGGAGAGGTACTGCACAGAGTGACGGTTCTTGGGGACCACTGGTTTGAACGCAGTGGGACGGATCAGAAACTTCTCCTTGTTCTGTAATGGAAGACAGTATTTGTTCATGGTTCTTACAGAAAAGTACAGACATTATTACATTGTGTTTTCAACTATGATTCATTAATTATTATCATGTTCATTCTTTTCATTATTGCCTGAGAGGCCCTGTCAAAGGGAATCTAATCAAGACCCTCTCAAACACACATAGAACCACAGCACTGGGAAACACTTTATTGGGATTTCCAGTTAAATAAAGGTATGATAAAACAAAGGAAATATAAAAGACACTGACGTGAGTGATATGATATCAGCATTGCTAATTAGGAATGCCTAGTCTCCTCCCAATAAAGACTGGGACACTGATATGGTGGAAGGTCATTCTGAAGTCTCTGATTGGTTTAATTGATATTCATTGGTTTGCAGTAAGCAGTTTTCCTAATGATTTTTCTCACATCTCATGGAATATGTCACGACACGAGAGAGGGGGGATGAAAAGAGGGAGGAGAGAGAGAGAGAGAGAGAGAGAGAGAGAGAGAGAGAGAGAGATGAGGAGAGAGAGAGAGAGGGGACGCAGAGAGAGAGGAAGAGGAGAGAGATAGAAAGAGAAATACAGGGGGACGGGGAGAAAGAGAGGGAGATGGTGGGGAGAGGAAAGAGACAGGAAGAGAAAGGCGGGAGAGAGAGAGAGAGAGAGAGAGAGAGAGAGAGAGAGAGAGAGAGAGAGAGGGAGAGAGAGAGAGAGAGGAGAGAGAGAGAGAGAAGGGTGAGACAGATCAAGAGAAGAGAGAGACAGCTCTACGGTAAGCAGTTTTCTTAATGATTTCCCTCAGGCCTCAATGAGTGTGTCAGTGAATGTAAGATAGCGCTAACATTGATTATAAGGCGCGAGGTGATTGACTGTTAACACTAGAAAAGCCTGGCCTCATTGGACCCCCCTTCGGGCCAATAACGCGTCTTTTGAATGTCCATATTTTAACAGTCTAATAAATAGATTTCATATGCTATCGCAAAAATCATAATTTGGTTCTGTTTATGAAGGTAACATTAGAATATGAAAGAAAATGTATTTCAATGAACACAATAGCAATTTCATTAGTTTATGCAACTGTAGGCTATACAGTGCATTCGGAAAGTATTCAGACTCATTGACTTTTTCCACATTTTGGTATATTACAGGCTTATTCTAGTGTATTAAAAATAAAAATAAATCTCATCAATCTACACACAATACCTGATAATGAGAAAGCAAAAACTGTTTTTTAGAAATACTGACCCCTTACTAAGTACTTTGTTGAAGCACCTTTGGCAGCGATTACAGCCTCAAGTCTTCTTGGGTATGACGCTACAAGCTTAGCACACCTGTATTTGGGGAGTTTCTCCCATTCTTCTCTGCAGATCCTCTCTAGCTCTGTCAGGTTGGATGGGGAGCGTCGCTGCACAGCTATTTTCACGTCTCTCCAGAGATGTTCGATCGGGTTCAAGTCCGGGCTATGGCTGGGCCACTAAAGGTCTTTCAGAAACTTGTCCCGAAACCACTCCTGCTTTGTCTTGGCTATCTGCTTAGGGTCGTTGTCCTGTTGGAAGGTGAACCTTTGCCCCAGTCTGAGGTCCTGAGCGCTCAGGAGCAGATTTTCATCAAGGATCTCTCTGTACTTTGCTCCATTCATCTTTCCCTCAATCCTGACTAGTCTCCCAGTCGCTGCCGCACAAAAACATCCCCACAGCATGATTCTGCCACCACCATGCTTCACCGTAGGGATGGTGCTAGGTTTCCTCCAGACGTGACGCTTGGCATTCAGGCCAAAGATTTCAATCTTGGTTTCATCAGACCAGAGAATCTTGATTCTCATGGTTTGAGAGTCCTTTAGGTGCCTTTTGGCAAACTCCAAGCGGGCTGTCATGTGCCTTTTACTGAGGAGTGGCTTCCGTCTGGCCACTCTACCATAAAGGCCTGATTGGTGGAGTGCTGCAGAGATGGTTGTCCTTCTGGAAGGTTCTTCCATCTCCACAGAGGAACTCTGGAGCTCTGTCAGAGTGACCATCGGATTCTTGGTCACCTCCCTGACCAAGGCCCTTCTCCCCCGATTGCTCAGTTTGGTCGGGCAGCCAGCTCTAGGAAGAGTCTTGGTGGTTCCAAACTTCTTCCATTTAAGAATGATGGAGGCCACTGTGTTCTTGGGGACCTTCAATGCTGCAGACATGTTTTGGTACCCTTCCCCAGATCTGTGCCTCGACACAATTCTCTCTCGGAGCTCTACGGACAATTCCATCGACCTCATGGCTTGGTTTTTGTTCTGATGTGCACTGTCAAGTGTGGGACCTTATATAGACAGGTGTGTGCCTTTCCAAATCATGTCCAATCAATTGAATTTACCACAGCGGGATTCCAATCAAGTTGTAGGAACATCTCAAAGATGATCAATGGAAACAGGATGCACCTGAGCTCAATTTCGAGTCTCATAGCAAAGGGTCTGAATACTTATGTAAATAAGGTATTTATATTATTTATTTATTTTGCAATAAATTCATTAAAAACCTGTTTTTGCGTTGTCATTATTGGGTATTGTGTGTAGGTTGATGAGATAAAAAAATATATAATAATTTAGAATAAGGCTGTAACTTAACAAAATTTGGAAAAAGGGAAAGGGTCTGAATACTTCCATGTACAAACGAAAAACCACTAAAACACCAATTAAAGTGTTAAAATCCATTACATAAACACAATAACAAAGATCATTCACTATTCATTCGTTAAGGGCAGTTCTTAAGGAACATTATGCATTTAAGAAAATCTATTTCAAAAGAACAGAATGGCATATTTTGAGTTTAAATATATTACTGTGCTTTGAGTGGTGGGGAGCGCATGGAATCGTGGTAATTCTTTCAAAAAGGTTTATTTTGAAATAGAGCTCAACGGGTAATTTTGAAGAGTTGTTTGGCAAGGATATTCGATGTGGAACTGCAGAATCTGCTCTTTCTGATACTATATAGACATCAAAACATCTTACCTGCCTGTGACTCTGTAGGAACATTTTTAAAAGTCACTTTTTGTCGCTCCGTTCACCTGCCTCTGTGTCAATTCCAAGCTGCGCTGTTCATCAGATTCTTCATATACAATTTAATGATTGATAATATTCTCACCCATCAGACTATTGTCAATTAAATCTTGTCTTTAGGCAAACTCAATTTTTATATGAAATTTGTCAATATACACTACATGACCAAAAGTATGTGGACACCTGCTTGTTGAACATCTCATTCCAAAATCATGGGCATTAATATGGAGTTGGTCCCCCCTTTGCTGTTATAACAGCCTACACTCTTCTGGGAAGGCTTTCCACTAGATGTTGGAACATTACTGCGGGGACTGGCCTCCATTCAGCCACAAGAACATTAGTGAGGTCCGGCACGATTAGGCCTGGATCGCAGTCGGCGTTCCAATTAATCACAAAGGTGTTCTATGTGGTTGAAGTCAGGGCTCTGTGCAGGCCAGTCAAGTTCTTCCACACCGATCTCGACAAACCATTTCTGTATGGACCTTGCTTTGTGCATGGGGACATTGTCATGCTGGAACAGGAAAGGGCCTTCCCCAAACTGTTGTCACAAGTTGGGAACACAGAATCGTCTAGAATGTCATTGTATGCTGTAGCGTTAAGATTTCCCTTCACTGGAACTAAGGGGCCTAGCCCGAACCATGAAAAACAGCCCCAGACCATTATTCCTCCTCCACCTAACTTTACAGTTGGCACTATACATTGGGGCAGGTAGCGTTCTCCTGGCGCCTGCCAAACCCAGATTTGTCTGTCAGACTGCCAGATGGTGAAGCGTTATTCATCACTCCAGAGAACGCATTTCCACTGCTTCAGAGTCCAATGAAGGCGAGCTTTACACCACTTCAGCCGACGAAAGCGCATGGTGATCTTAGGCTTGTGTGCGGCTGCTCGACCATGGAAACCCATTTTATGAAGCTCCCAACAAACAGTTATTGTGCTGACGTTGCTTCCAGAGGCAGTTTGGAACTCAGTAGTGAGTGTTGCAACCGAGGACAGCACTCGGCGGTCCCGTTCTTTGAGCTTGTGTGGCCTACCACTTCGCGGCTGAGCCCGTTGTTACGCTTAGACGTTTCCACTTCACAATAACTGCACTTACAGTTGCCGGAGGCAGCTCTAGCAGGGCAGAAATTTGACGAACTGACTTGTTGGAAAGGTGGCATCCTATGATGGTGCCACGTTGAAAGTCACTGAGCTCTTCAGTAAGGCCATTCTACTGCCCATGATTGTCTATGGAGATTGCATGGCTGTGTGCTCGAGTTTATACACCTGTCAGCATCGGGTGTGGCTGAAATAGCCTAATCCACTAATTTGAAGGGGTGTCCACATACTCTTTTTATATTTGGTGTAGTTTAGGTGTAGTTTCGATGCGCCATCATCAGCTGTGCAGGCTGACTGCCAGTGAATAACTTGCGGTGAACGAGGGACATAAATAAATACCTTTTAAAACTGCTTATAATACAAATTATGTTTGTAAAATTAAGATTCTAACAACGTATCTCAGCTGGTAGAGCACGGCGCTTGTAACGCCAAGGTAGTGGGTTCGATCCCAAGGACCACCCATACACAAAAATTTATGCACGCATGACTGTAAGTCGCTTTGGATAAAAGCGTCTGCTAAATGGCATATTATTTATATTATTATTCTAACAACGACAGTGTGTTATATAGACTTATTTAGGAAAAGTCAAGGACGGGGGGTGACATGACTTTAAAAATGTCAGAGTAATTAAAACAGTTATTTTGGTTTGAGTCAACAGGTTAAGGTTCCCTCTCGATCAATAGAAATGAATAGCCAATTAGACAGCAGAGAGGATCTATGGTAAATAATGTTAGCATATAGTTGGCCTAGCACCTCACCACTGGTGCTGCTTATTAGCTGGCAGTAGTTGGGTAATAATGAGGTACTGAAAGTTCACCATACCATTAGCTAGAAGTATTATTAGCTAGCTACATTCTGTGTTCTGTATATTAACTAAGTGAGGATTTTACAAGTGAAACGTACAACTGAGAAATAAAAAAAGTATACTAATGATAACACAATTAAATGTATGGGCGTTATCAAAGGGAAGTTCTGACAGTAATTTCTTGACTCAAGGCTTACTATAGGACTTATTAGGGATACACAGATACGACAAGCTCGGGAACCATTTCACATTTTGGGAATCCCCCTCCGACACTCACCTTCTCCAGTTTTCCCGAAACAGGGATGAGTTTGGGTGGCGGACCGCCAATATTCCCGTTGAGACCTCTGTTATCCCTCTGCTCCTCCGAGTCGCTACACGGACTCCCGACCGTCACCACATGGTTATCATTCCAGTCTCCTACAGTCACCACCTCAGTCACAAACCCATAGTTCCCATTCCCTCCACCACCACCACCACCACCACCTCCAGCCACACACCCAGCCCCACCAGCAGAGTTACCTGCCCGGGGCTGCTTCTTGGTGGGCAGTGGCGGCGGCTGGAGCTGGGTGGTCTGGAGCTGGGCCTGGTTGTTGATAACCAGTAGTTGTTCCAGGGAGCTTGCGCTGTGCAGGGTGTTGCTATCACCCTGGAGCCTGAAACAGCTGGTGGTTGGGGTGTTACGGTGTGGCTTAGTGCTGAAATAAAAATAATGTATAATAATCATTGATTGGAATTACAGTATATAGCATTTTCCCAGTAGCTATTTTCCATATTAAGGGGGGAATCACTAGTCTGGTCCCAGATCTGTTTGTGCTCTTGTTTGGCATGACAATCCCAAGAGTTGGCAAGAGAGCAAAAACAAGGCAAAAAACTGCAACCCAGGCTAGGAAATCATCTCATCCACGACCAATATAGCCTGAGTGCCAGTCTGTTTGTGCTATCATGCCAACTCCTTGTCACTTATTTTCCAGCCATGTTTGGCTTGACAAGGACAGCAATAAAGTAGGCAAGAGCACTTAAACAGACTGGCACCCGGGTTATGACTAATGAGTAGCACCCTACCGGATCTCGCTGGCGGCCCGGCAGTGTCGTTGCTCCTGATAGGTCCGGCCAGAGATGAGGCTGCTGACGGAGCCCATGGTGGCTCCGGGGCCACAGGGCCCTCCGACCACGGGGGAGAGGGAGACGATGTCGAGGCTGGTGGGAGGCTTGGGGTGGTCAGTCACGGACACAGGCAGGGTCTGAACCAGAGCCATGGTACCTGGACAAGGCCGGACATACACCGAACACACACTCTGCATAGAGAGAGAGGGGAAGAAAAGTTTAATTTCAAGTACACTTCATTGGGACATTATAAAGGCTGATCATTGATACAGTTCATAGTTAAACACATTTCCCATCCTTTCCCTTCAACATTCAAAATATTAAGTTAAAAAATCTGATTTAACGAGACAGAAAGAATGCGGGTGAGTGTGTAGAATTGTGTGTGTGTGTTTGTGAGCTTGGTGTTTAAGTGTTTAATTTCCAGCCAGTATTATGTTAGTGTGAGTTGCCTGGGGGACTGAGAGGGGACATATTATATTTAGCCTGCTGTGCCTCGCTCAAAGCTTTCTGGCCAAGTGGAATAATACAACCTAACTATGACCACACACTGTCTGCTAGAGCCATCAAAAACACACACACACACACACACACACACACACACGCACGCACGCACGCACATGCACGCACGCACGCACACATGTGCACCCACGCACGTGCACACATATACACAAACACACACCTGCACACAAACACTCACTGTCACACATACAGTACTTCAAAGCCCATTCCTCCCTGAGGCTTACAGGCAGGACACCCATCAACTCTATGCCAAATTAAATCAGTGTTTTTGCCCAGGATACCAAGTATACATGCACATGCCCAGTACACAAGTGCAGGGAACACAGGCCATTTCCAGCCAACAGTCAGAGAGAGGATAGGGAGCAGAGAGAGGAAGGAAATACAGGTGGGGAAACAAGGACTTTAAAAAGAAGGAGAAAGGAATTGGGGATTCCTAAGTTCTGAGGAGGACACCTACTGATGAAGGAGTAATAACTGAGTAGTGTCAGGGTTGTTCAACAACTCCATCAATTACTGGTCACTCCCAAACATCTCAATGACTCCCCGCTGTAGGTGTTTGTGTGTGTGTGCGCACATATGAGGGTGAAAGCAAAACTCTGTGATGTGTGTGTGTGTGTGGTATGCGAGAAGTTGACCATTTCCCAGACCAGAATCATCATGAATGATGCCTCCTTTCACCTTCCCCCATCCACCCCCACCCTTCTCCTCAGCCCCAGCCCAGCAGAAGGTCTACTCTGCCTGGAATAATGGCATTAGAGGACCCTCCAGGATGGTGGGTGATCCCCTGGCCCTAACCCTGTGACCCCAGCAGGAGTGGGCCGTAGCTGGGCAGACTCCCCCTCTCTCCTCCCTGACCTCCAGGGGTTCTGGTTTTGTTCCTGCTGCTCTGGGATACAAAGCCCCAGAGCTCATTTCCCTCTGATGTTGTTCACTGCTTATTTCTAAAGTTATGAAGTTCCTCCCTCGCACGCAAATCCTCCTCCCACACACACACACATTCCCTGCCCCCGTTCTCTTTCACTTGTCAGACTGAGCAAAAATGCTGAGAAAGTGGGTTTGTTGTTTGAGCACTCCATTGCTTCAGATGCAGTGAAGGCAACTAGCAGAGGGTGATTTGGAAGCATGACACAAAAACATGCGACAAAACATCCAAGTGTCTCTTTCATTGGAAGCTCATGTAAAGCAGTTTAACACATTTTCAAGTATGAGTATTATAGAAGTATTCCTTTATAGAAAACGCTTTAAACTGTAAGCAAAGTGCCTAACGAGTTTGGGTAGCAAACTTTAGTGCAGAAATAAGGGGTAACGACAGGGAAATAACAGGAAACGACCGGGAAATAACACGGTAACGACAGGGTAACAACACGGTAATAGTTAGTATGTAGCTGCTAAATAACAATATAAAGGGTGGCACATTTTCCTGGTTGCAGAAACAATTATTTGTTACTTAAGAACTATAAATAATAGAGGCTAATAAGCACAAAGTATGTACTTAGTATTCAAGGCCATTTCACAAGTTCTCAGCAGCACTGTATATACTCATATAGAATGTAGAAAGACTGTTTCTTCAACAGAAACGCTTGAGAAACTACATCATACTGTATGTGGGCCAACCACAAAACGTAGCTTTTGGTAGCTAGCTAGCCTAGTTAAATAACCTAGCATTGCGTCACACAGTATAAAACTATTTTAACACAATACTATCTCATCACCAATAGTTTGCTATTAACACAACATTCGGAAACAGTTTATGAAATGTAAATTACCTTTTACGTGTTATAAACTTTTTAAACAATACATAACTCTCCTCAGCAAGCATCAAAGAAGACTGAGGAGAGAGAGCGCACCGCAGGCTGCTTTTCTGACGTTACTGCAGACCAAAGACATCCATCAAAGAGCGATTCTCAATCGCAAAAGGCAGGCATGAAAAATAACAAACTATTTTTTCCAATTTTTCAGTTTGCTTTAGAATACAGTGCTGAAGCACTGTAGTTATACTGAATTAAGTACCAGTAATGAACATAATAATTAGTCAGTAACAACATGGCATCTGTTTGCACATCACCTGTAAGTACTGGATAACTATGAACTACAAGCAAAATACATAAAAAGGTATGTTTTGTGGTTGGCCTACATTCAGTATAAGTAGGCCTATGCTGTATTTTCTCATACCTTTCTATCAAATAAAAAGTATTTCTACAAAAGTTCAGGTGAAATGGCCTTGAATACTTACTACATAAGTTGTGCTTATTACCCTAGAATAATTGTTTCTACATAACAACCAGGAAAATGTGTCACCCTTTATATTGTTATTTGGGCTCCCGAGTGGCACAGCGGTCTAAGGCACTGCATCTCAGTGCTTGAGGCGTCACTACAGACCCCCTCGTTCGATACCAGGCTGTATCACAACCGGCCGTGATTGGGAGTCCCATAGGGCGGCGCACAATTGGCCCAGCGTCGTCTTGGTTTGGACGGTGTAGGCCGTCATTGTAAATAAGAATTTGTTCTTAACTGACTTGCCTAGTTAAATAAAGGTAAAATAAATAAAATAAAAATTTAGCAGCTAGATACTAACTATGAACGGGTTATTTCCGTGTCGTTACCGTGTTATTTCCCTGTTGTTTCCTTTTAATTCCCTGTGGTTACCACTTATTTCAGCACTGTTATTACAGAGTTTCAGAATGTCTACGGTGCTCCAGAGAGAGAAAGAAAGGGGGAAAAGCCAGGTATTCCAATCAAGAGGCATAGCAGAGATGCCAAATATATTGGGATGTAATCCTGTTTGGTTAGTGTTTGGTGTGCACACAGATACTGAGCAGGATGGGTGAAGGGGGTTATTTTGACGCCAAACCCACCACTGGTGTGAGTGGCCAAAGAGCTCTATTTTCATGTCATCTGACCAAAGCACCGGTTCCAGATGCAAGTGCTAATGCTGTTTAGCAAAATCTAGGAGTTTACATTCTTTGGATGACTTGAAAATAGAGCTCTTTGGTCACGCACACCAGTGGTGTGTTTGGCATCGAAATGATAACGCATGAGCAGAAAAGAACCCCATAACTACTGTAAAACATGGTGGTGGATCTTTGATGTTATGGGGCTATTTTGCTTCCACTGGTCCTGGGGCACTTGATAAGGTCAGAACCCCACAATTGATTGTGCCAATAAAGATATTTTAAAATTCAAGATACAGTGCATTTGGAAAGTATTCAGATCCCTTTACTTTTTCCACATTTTGTTACGTTACGGCCTTATTCTAAAATGGATTAAATTGTTTTTTTCCCCCCTCATCAATCTACACACAATACCCCATAATGACAAAGCAAAAACATGTTTTTAGAAATGTTTGCAAATGTATAAACAAACAACAACTGAAATTTCACATTTACATAAGTATTCAGACCCTTTACTCAGTACTTTGTTGAAGCACCTTTGGCAGCGATTACAGCCTTGAGTCTTCTTGGGTATGACGTTACAAGCTTGGAACACCTGTATTTGGGGAGTTTCTCCCATTCTTCTCTGCAGATCCCCTCAAGCTCTGTCAGGTTGGATGGGGAGCGTCGCTATACAGCTATTTTCAGGTCTCTCCAGAGATGTTCCATCGGGTCCAAGTCTGGGCTCTTGCTGGGCCACTCAACGACATTCAGAGACAGGTCCCAAAGTCACTCCTGCGTTGTCTTGGCTGTGTGCTTAGGGTCGTTGTCCTGTTGGAAGGAGAACCTTCGCCCCAATCTGAGGTCCTGAGCGCTCTGGAGCAGGTTTTCATCAAGGTTCTCTCTGTACTTTGCTCCATTCATCTTTCCCTCGATCCTGACTAGTCTCCAAGTCCCTTCAGCTGAAAAACATCCCCACAGCATGATGCTTCCACCACTATGCTTCACCATAGGGATGGTGCCAGGTTCCCTCCAGACGTGACGCTTGGCATTCAGGTCAAAGAGTTCAATCTTGGTTCCATCAGACCAGAGAATCTTGTTTCTCATGGTCTGAGAGTCCTTTAGGTGCCTTTTGGCAAACTCCAAGCGGGCTGTCATGTGCCTTTTACTGAGCATTGGCTTCCGTCTGGCCACTCTACCATGAAGGCCTGATTGGTGGAGTGCTGCAGAGATGGTTGTCCTTCTGGAAGGTTCTCCCACTCCACAGAGGAACTCTGGAGCTCTGTCAGAGTGACCATCGGGTTCTTGGTCACCTCCCTGACCAAGGCCCTTCTCCCCTGATTGCTCAGTTTGGCCGGGGGGCCAGCTCTAGGAAGAGTCTTGGTGGTTCCAAACTTCTTCCATTTAAGAATGATGGAGGACACTGTGTTCTTGGGGACCTTCACTGCTGCAGAAATTTTTTGGTAACCTTTCCCAGATCTGTGCCTCGAAACAATCCTGTCTCGGAGCTCTATGGACAATTCCTTCGACGTCATGACTTGGTTTCTGCTCTGACATGCACTGTCAACTGTGGAACCTTATATAGACAGGTGTGTGCCTTTCCAAATCATGTCCAATCAATTTAATTTACCCCAGGTGGACTACAATCAAGTTGTAGAAACATCTCAAGGATGATCAATGGAAACAGGATGCACATGAGCTCAATTTCGAGTCTCCTAGCAAAGGGTCTGAATACTTATGTAAATAAGGTTTAATTTTTTAACATTTTTTAACATTTCTAAAAACCTGTTTTCGCTTTGTCATTATGGGGTATTGTGTGTAGATTGATGAGAAGAAAACAAACATTTAATCAATTTTAGAATAAGGCTGTAACGTAACAAAATGTGGAAAAAGTCAAGGGGTCTGAATACTTTCCGAATGCACCATATAATATTATCTCTGTAACTGCCTTAGTGATCAAATTCCATCAGTTATGCAAGCACACCACCTGTGCCATTAAGGTCCAGACCTTTTGTTAGAGGCCGCATTACAGATTACAATATCACTGCCAATGACAGCCTTTCGATTGCAAAAGAAATATCAGGCTTTGCATGTGGAAATGTTGGTTAATGCACCACTAACAGAAAACCATGGAAATTAAACACAAAAACAATGTTTTAAGTGAGAATTAGGCATTGGTCTGAAGCAGAAAAAGAAAGGAAATTCACTTCAGATGAGCACCACAATGCTTACTTCAACCAAGGTATTCCAGCACACAGCTTTGACCTATTACAGTAGCTATGTTGGTCTATTGTACTTTAAACACTGTGTAGGTAGGTTGCTTAGGATTCAAACCTTCTCAAACAGCCTAATTCATACTCTTCAGAAGGATAATGGACTTTACAGTGTCGAGCTATTAAAATAATGTATAAATACTGTACATAGGCTGTATGTATTTTACAAATACAAATACAAACATAACTTTAGGCTACATAATCAGTTGACAGAGGTAATGAACTGTCCATTCATCAACACAGCAATTAATAAAAAAGGACCATGTTTGCAATAAAAGTGGTTCTGAGCTTATGTCAATATTACACAGGTTAGCTAACAGTAATAGAAATCAGGAATGCAGACAGGCTCGATAGACCTCTTTATCTATATGAGTGACCACCACCTGTTGTTATGTTGCACACCTACTGACCAAAAAAGGATGTATTATGAAAAATATATTTTTCTCAATTACACATATTGCTAATATAAAGGTTTAAATATATTACCATTTAAACAGCAAAGAACAACAGGCAGGTACCACATAATTTCTACAAGACCCAAAAGCTCACTCAATCAAGCATGATGGTCTTATAAAAGCAAAGCTTACTTTCATATAATTTTAAAAGTTTGAAAAAGTAGTGGAATGGGATAATGTTTTAGTATGAGGAGGAAAGCATGCAATACTTTATTTTTGTATTAATGCGGTACAAATCACATTATTGTAGGAGCACCTCCTCCAAGAGAATGAAATAGGCTGTTTGAAAAGGTTTGAATCCTAAGTAACCTGCC